TGGATGTGGATGCCCTAATCATAAATTTCACAAACTTTCTTTTAGTGGATCACTCATGTTTCCTACTTACTTTAATTTATATATCAATTTAATTCATATTTACTAAAAACATTACTCAAAATTTTTTACAATGACATATTTATTATATATCACAATAAATATATTTTACGTACAATTATTCTTTTTAAAGATAATAATAATAAGTTAAATTTATTTCACATAAACCTTAAAATAATATAAAATATAAAATAAATAAAGAAAACCAACTTGGGAGAACATAATTTTTTGCATCATTTGTCATGTACTTCAGTAGCCACCCACCGTGGGGAAAAAAATTGAAAATGAAAAACAAATAAATAAAGAAAGCCAACTTGGGAGACATATGTGCAAATGTGGGCACTCAATATGAGGTTTTATATGGGGTTTATGTTTTCAAACTTGGTTTATATATACAAACCTCAAACCTCACTGCAATAGCTAGTGGATAAACCTTGAGGTTTATGTTTTTAAACCTCTTATCAAACCTCCCACTAAAAATGCTCTTACTACACTTCCTTTTGCGTTTTCTTTATTTGCTCAACATGGATTTTATCGTTTTAAATATCGCACCGATAATTATACTGGACGAACTAAAGGTACACGGTTCAACCAGTATAATCGATTTTACCGTTTATTTTACCGGTTTCAATAAATATTAAATTAATTTGTTATTATAATATAAATAATGTACAAAACTAACTTTAATTAATACAAAATTAATTAACATCTAATAACAATGTAAACATATTAAAAGTAAGTGTAGAACTTCCAATTTATATAAATAAATTAATGAAAATATATTAAAAAATATTTTTTTTTAAAAAATGGCAAAACTGGTGTTTTGGCTGGTATTTGCCGGTAAAATCGGTATAAACCGGTATTTTGGCAAAAAACGGTATTTTGAGTGTAACTGTATCGTCGGACCACCGATATTCGGTATACCAGTAATACCGGCCGATACGTTACGGGATTTAAAACATTGGATTTTATTTTAAAGTACATAATAAATGTACATAGAGGTGTACATAACACTTACATGGAGTGAGGTCTACTTAATTTTTTATTTAAAGTAGGACTCACTCAATGTGATTGTTATGTACACCTATATGTACAGTATTATGTACCTATAACATTTCTCGCCAAAATTTTGTGTTAACTGAATAAACGATAAAAAAAAATTATTATATACTTGAGCTTCTCTCCACCTTGCATTCAAGGTCAAACTTAAATTAAAACCTCCATATTATAATNAATTATGCTGGAACAATTTATGTCCAATATAATTAAATAAAGGCTCAAGGCCATAGAGAAAACTAGACTTCACACAACTCGTGCATGATATTGGAAAAGGAACATACAAAAGTATCCAATAATGGCAGAAATATACTACACTTTATTCTGCGATTACATGACAGTCAATCCAACGTCTTGCAGTCACTATTTAACCATGTAATGAATGGGTTTCTAAAATTCCGTTCATGATACATATGTCAACAACAGGATGAGGGCATTATACAACGAATGTATTGCTACAGGCGCACTCAAGTTCCCAGACCAGCAGAAAGAAGATCCGAGAACAAACCCAACAACGAAAAGCTGTAAAAAGTTGTCGACCGAGAAGTGAGCTGCGCTGAAAACAAAGGAACTGATTGTGACGGCCGGAAGCCATTTCATTTTTGATGAAAGAGATTTTAGAAGAAAGCCTCTGTACACAACTTCTTCCAGCAATGGAGTGACAAGGCAATAGACGAGAATACTGGCAGTTAAGGAGCTCCAGCCACTGGTCAGATTTTCCTTGAGAAAGGGATTGTTCACGTCCTGTTGATCCAGTTTCGGAATATAAATGGATTAGAATATCAATCAATATGTTCATCCCTACTTTCTCGAAACCAACTTGCATTGTAAAATAGAGCTTCAAACCTAGTTGACAGTTGTACCTATCCCCTGAATGGGTATTCCAAATCGCACTAATTTATTTTAAACAAATATTAAATAATAAAACAAGAAGAAAATAAAGTAGCAACAGTTAAATCGACCTTGAACAGATTCATTCCTTCAGAATAACCCAAAACATAACTTCATCTTAGTTTCAATAATTTGGAGTGTTTATTGAAATATGTAAGTGCACCTTTCTTTCTTTCTTTCTTTCTTTTTCTTTTATTTTTTTATTTTTTTTAAATAATAGTTGAATGTGAATAAGCTAACCTTGGGCCCTATCAACCGGTCAGCAATGTATGAAGTAATGAGAACCACAAAAAGAAGAAATCCAACACCAACCACTGATGCCAGTAACCAACTCCTTTGCTTTGAAGATTTGTTTGCTTGAAAGCAGTCTTCAAAATCAAACTGTGGCTTCCAAGGACACTTTAGAAACAGTAGGACTATGCTAAGCTCCAAGGTTTGGATACCGAGCATTAGAAATATCTGCACTGGAAAAAGAGAAACTAGTTCTATCATTAACAACTACATGTCCGGATGAAAAACGCACATCCATATCATCAAAAGTGTCCAACTGAATAAATGAAAGTTATCATTAACAGATAAATTTCCGACCTATGTTTATTTACTAAAATAAAGTAGCATCAGGCTCTTCGCCTGAAATATTAAGGTTTATTTAAAAGGATGCAACTGAAAGTCCACATAATGACGAAAGCAAGAGGAACCAGATAATCAATTCAGATACATGCCACTATGGAAGACTCGGGATTGAGATCTTACAGGAAAAGCATTCTTTTGGTTAGAATATATCACAAGTTAATATTTTTTACATCAAATACAGTAAGTGCACCAGAAGAAACAGAGCAGTCAAGAGAAAAATTCTGCAATATAATACTAAAAATATGGATTCGTATTCTATGTAAGGCAGTGGCTGTAAAAAGTTACTTGCTTAAGGTCTTCGCAATCAATGAACTCCATGTCAATCATCTATATGAATAAAGTAGCGTAGCATGGGACTTGTGTTTTAATATTAAGAATGAAAAATGCCAATCAATTACTTCACTCGATCATGAAGCAATACTACCATCTCACGTGTTCAAGGAAAGAAATAAGACCATTTCATGTTAACATATATATATATATATATATATGTATATATATATATACTATCTTTCGCTCTTCAATGTTTGCATCAGAAGAAGTTACCCCAGTTTGTGGATCCAGAACAAGTTGATGCAATATGTTGGCAGCAGCTGATATGCCACCAAAACTCAAAGGAACATGGATGCTGAAAACATAAAAACCCATAAAACTCCATACACTTCCAATTTCACCTTGCATATCCCTTTTGAGTATTGAGAAACCCTATTATAAGAAAAAAAAAATACATACTTAATTTTCCTCCTATGAATTCTATAAAAGTAGAAGGTTATGTATGAGCAATAAAAGAGATTCCGTACAGAATGCAAAGTCAACTCAACAACAACAAAATCCAAGTAAACTTCATTGCACACCTAATGTTAGTCATCAATCCAAGCAAGAGTTCAGGAAAAATCACAAAATATGCCTCTAAATTTCAGAATATTATTCTTTTCTTCTAATAAAAAGGTTCTTTTTTGCCTCTAGAAACAAATTGAGATATCTACATTACAAGTTTTTGCTCTTCTTTTTCACTTATTGTTTTGGCAACATAACCACACAATGCCTACTTGTAGGAACCATCTGAAGAAGATGAAGTACATTTACCAAATTGTTCCCTACATAGCCCCTATGGTAACCCCCTTCTCTAATATACAGCTGCATAAAGCAATTATTCTCAGTTACCTCTGCCACCATCATTATTTACTGCATAATTTCAATTTCCTATCATCAATTCATTAAATGCACCCAAATTGCCAATGACGAGATATCAAACCAGTTTACCACAAGGTTCACGACATTCAAACAGTCTCATACGCCAAAAAGCTTGAGCAGCAATTATCATCTACTATTAAGTGGAAATAAACAAAGCAGGAAAAGAGTAAGTACAATTACAAGTCCACCATGTTAGGATTCTATGACAAGATAAGAAAGTATTACGAGACGGGAAGAACAATAAAAACTAAATGTGAGATTAATTACCTCAACCGGTTCGGAGGAGTTGCCATTTTTGGTTAAACAACACTTGAAAGATGAAGCTCTGCTGCTGAGGGCGTTGCGATTGGGAAGCACTTTTTTAGCGTCGCACAAATTTGAAGGAAATAGATACAGCAAAGGCCGATGATTCAGATTAACATTCATCTCCAGCAAATGTGAGATTAGTTTGCTTTGTTGGTTGGTTGTTTGGTTAGCTCTTGATTTAGGGCACCCGTGAGTGGCCCTCTTGTTTGGCTGTTTGTTTTTTTAGCTCCTCGGTTTGTAAGACATTCGTTTATTGTTACGAGATTTCTTCTATTGTTTAAAAATTAATTAATAAAAAGAATTTAATTACCGAGTGGAGCCGCTGACGACATCGTCAAAACTGGAAGAGAGACTTCTTCGTATGAATAGAAATAAAAGTAAAATCATAGATTTCTGTTTCTACCCTCAACTCCAGACCCTACCTCCCCCAATTCTGATTTCTGGAGTTAGGGTTCCTTCCCCTTTCCCTTTCTCTCTTCTAGCTTCACCAATCCTTCCTTTAATCTTCAATCTTTTGTCTGTTCTTTTTATCTTCGGATATAAACCGAATAATTTGCAGAGGAAATGGCTGGATTCGCGCGCAACTGCATTCAATCGCTGCTAAAGTTGGTGAATTCTGGCTTAGGAATGGTGGGGATTGCCATGATCATCTACTCTCTTTGGATGCTTAGGGTTTGGCTCCGCCATGAAGAATCGGCTTCAGCCCCCGTCCCTTGGTAACTTTCTGTTTATGCTGAAAATTAAAGGTCCTTTTTTCTTTCCTCTTTCCTTTTCCAATGGCCCTTTTCAATAAGTATCATCCTTGGTATGGGATTGCAGGTTCATATACACTACACTTGGCCTTGGGGTCACTTTATGCATGATCTCATGCTCTGGCCACATTGCTGCGGAAACTGTCAATGGTTGCTGCCTGTACATCGTATCCATAGTGTATGTTTATTTCTAGCATCAGCATTCTAAATCTTAGGCATGAATATTTGTACTCTTTGATTTAGTTTCAATTTTTGTGCTTCTCATCATATATATGTTTCGTTGGTGAATTTATGAATGGAATGTAATGCGCCATTTTGGTTTTACCCCAAAATTGATAAGACTTCCAAATTTAATTGGCATTATCACATTTGGTGTTCACTTACTAACTGATGCACATGTCTCTGTAGTCCAGAAGGTTTTCATCTCGCCTAAATCTTATCATGCTACTTTATCTGTCATCTTTGTGCTGTGAAAGTGTGTAGCATATATATGATGGTGGAGTTTGTGGCAGTCATGCCTAGTGTTATTGAGAATTTTAGTTCTTCTACCTCATCCTGAAGAACTCAAAGGAGATCAATTCACTTTCCAATATACATATTACTTATTTGTTGATCTTAACCGGTATAGTACATGGTCTTTGTCTTTCTTCTGTTCGTACTGGAAGCTGCAATTACTGCAGATGTATTCTTAAACCACAAGTGGGAGGAGGTACTTTGTGTTTTATGTTCATTTATGTATAGAAATATTTTCTGAAATTGGGGATTGGTTAAATATTGATTTGGCTCTTTATCAGGACTTCCCCAAAGACCCAACTGGAAATCTTGATCACTTAAAGGACTTCATCAAGGATAATTTTGACACCTGCAGATGGATTGGCTTGACTGTGGTGTCTGTACAGGTTTACTCTAAATCTTTGCCTATAGATTATGCATCCTCTGTCATGCGTGTCTTTTACACTAACACACATGTGCTTGCTCCCAAAAATAATAGGAAATGAAAGGCAAATAGAAGTAATCATTGCATAATCAGAGTTTTCCCCTTCTTTCCATGGTTTTGTGGATAATTGCTTGGATGCCAGGATATTCTTTATTTCTTATTTATTTTACTTGCCTCAAAAACTTGGTGAAATTCATCCAGTTATTTTTAGGAAAGTATCTTTTGTAGTGGATTCCATCTTCAGATCAGTTTTACGAACATGCATAAATGGCACTAAATCACTAATTATATGGCAGTTGCAGCCTTGACTTGCTATTACAAATTTTGTTTTCCACTATTGAATGGAAGGGAAATAAATTGTGTTGTGTTGATAACAAAATGCAATTACTAATATTCCCTACTGTGACAGTGCACTGATTTCTTATTGAATTATATGTAACACACAAAGCCTTGCTTTACGAAGAATCAATGTTATTGTTGAGCTAAGCATGATGCACCAGACCAACAAAATTTATATACAAACCTTCATAAAAATCTGGAAATTCGAATGGACTGTCATAACATGATTCCATTAGTATTTTCAAATTCACTCAGGGGCGGATTTAAATAGGGCCTGTGCAACAACAACAACGACAACATAGCCTATAGTCCCAAGCAAGTCGGGGTAGGCTAGAGATGAAACCCAAGAGAAACACAAAAAGACTCGCACCGAAAGGAAGAGATCACGAGAGAGAGAGAGAGAAAGGAGCAAAAGTCACGGTTCTGGCACGTTGATAGCGAGCCTCCAAGCGCTCCTATCCACCGCTAAATTCTTGGAGATATTCCAATCTTTAAGATCTCTCTTAACCGACTCTTCCCAAGTGAGTTTAGGCCGACCTCTACCTCTCTTAACATCCTCGACCCGCTGTAGAACTCCCCTACGCACCGGTGCATCAGGAGGCCTCCGTTGGACATGTCCGAACCACTTCAGCCGATATTGAACCAATTTCTCCTCAATTGGAGCCACCCCGACCCTATCTCGAATATCCTCATTCCGGATTCTATCCCTTCTTGTGTGCCCGCAGAACCAATGCAACATACGCATCTCTGCTACACTTAGTTGTTGGACATGTTGCCTTTTTGTAGGCCAACATTCAGCACCGTATAGCATTGCCGGGCGAATCGCCGTCCTATAGAACTTACCTTTTAGCCTTCGTGGCACCCTCTTATCACAAAGAACGCCCGACGCCTGACGCCATTTCAACCAACCGGCTGCAATTCTATGCCTAACATCAGCATCAATGCCGCCATCCTTTTGTAGCATCGATCTCAAATACCGGAAAGTCTCCTTCTTGGCCACCACTTGCCCGTCAAGGGTAACATCACCATCATCATGTGAAGTCATGCTGAAAGCGCACGTCATGTACTCGGTCTTTGTCCTACTAAGTCTGAAGCCTTTCGACTCCAACGCGTCCTTCCACAGTTCCAACTTCCTATTTACCCCTGCTCTACTCTCGTCAACTAGTACCACATTATCAGCAAAGAGCATACACCAAGGGATATCACCTTGTATGTCCCTTGTGACCTCATCCATCACTAAGGCAAATAGATAAGGGCTCAATGCTGACCCCTGATGTAGTCCTATTTTAATTGGGAAGTCGCTGGTGTCGCCCCCACATGTTCGGACACACGTCATCGCATCCTTGTACATATCCTTGATGAGGGTAATGTACTTAGATGGGACTTTGTACTTTTCTAAGGCCCACCACATGACATTTCTCGGTACTCTGTCATAAGCCTTCTCAAGGTCAGGTCGATAAAGACCATGTGCAAGTCCTTCTTTTGGTCCCTATATCTCTCCGTCAACTGACGTATTAGGAAAATCGCCTCCATGGTTGACCTTCCAGGCATGAACCCAAATTGGTTTTGTGTCACACTCGTCACTCGTCGTAGGCGATGCTCGATAACCCTCTCCCAGAGCTTCATCTTATGGCTCATCAACTTAATCCCACGGTAGTTACCACACCTTTGAACATCTCACTTGTTCTTGAAGATCGGTACTAAAGTGCAATTTTTTAAAAATATTTTGTATATATATCTTCACATAATTACACTTTTGCATATCTATTTTCTGATCCATAATTTTATTAAGAAGAATATAATATAAAAGTTAAATATCATAATATTTGATATATGATGGTTGAAGATCAATCCTTCCGACTAAATATGTTAACGTGTTTATATTTAACACAAATTCTTTTGTGAGGCAGTCTAATCATTACGTTGATTGATTTGCCATATTTTTNGACATTTTATAATAATAAAAATATGTATATTTGTTAAAAAGTATGTCGACATAATATTGTGTTTAACACAAGATCAGCCCTGTATTTAAATATTTAAAGTTTTCGTAACTCCACTTTCTATCCCATTCTTAAAAAAGAAACTAAATTAAAAGATTATAACTTATTATTATTTATTGAAATAAAAAAATTAAATTGTGCCCCTCGTGTTTGTGAAGCCTGTGTCTGCCCCTGAATTCACTCACAGATTGTACTATTAATGGGTTAATCTTTTTCCTCCATCTTGATATAATCTCTTATAGAGGTCTTTTATTTTATTTGTTTATTTATTTTTTTAATGCAGGGACTAAGTATGTTGCTGGCTATGATTCTTAAAGCGTTAGGAACACATACTGAGAGATTTTATGAAAGTGACGATGATTATCTACCAGATAGGGTACCTCTTCTTAAGAATTATGTTCCGCCACAAGCGTATGTTGTCAGTGAACCAGCTTATGGGAAAAATGATGCTTGGAATGTAAGAATTAATAGCAATAGCAAGGTACATCCATATTAACTTTTTAATTTTGAAGGGTTATTGCTTACACGTTCAGAGTAATTTTAAATGGTTATATTAATAGCAAGATACATCCATATTAACTTTTGATTTTGAAGGGTTATTGCTTACACATTTATAGTAATTTTAAATGGTTATATTGCTTGTGGTTCAGAATGATATTGCACCCTTTATTTTTGACATGTGGTATTAAAGTTATGGATAAGTAATTAGCCACTGATACTGAATGTGTTGGCCATCCCTAAAATCTAATTAGATGACACTAATGATAACTCTTGCATCTGTTTTACATACCCCGTGCGATGCACGAGATATAGATATTAAATGAGTTATTTTCACATGTTCTGTTTAAGTCTAAAAAGCAATAGGGTTGTCATCTATTTTCCACCACTTTTAATCAACATTAAGTAAAAAAAAAAGGGTTATAATCTATTTTTCACCTCCTTTAATCAACATTGTCTTTTAGCCAGAACATTAAATATGAGCATATTAGGCTAGCTTGTAAAATAATTAATATATTATCTCACTAACACATTTATACTGATATAAATTTGATTTTAGTATATATATTTATTTCTTGATATAAGAGAAAATAACAGTTTTACTTATTCTTGTTCACCATATAATACTTAGTTATTATTTTATTATAAACTTTGTTGTCATATAATGTCATTATTTTTCACAAAAGTTATAGAAGTTGTACGTCTTATTTTTCTTTTTATTTTATATAATGAAAAATATTTAATGCACATTAGTATTATTTATTTATGTAATCAATTTAAAATATGTAAGTAAATTTAAAATTAAATAATCAAGATTTTTATAATTTGCATTATAAAAATTTATAGTTTATTTAGCATACTCTGCAATGAAAATATATTTTACAATACTTTCATTATAGAAAGAAATAAAAATAAAAAATAATTATGGTTGCCAATAATATACAAATAAATTCTAAGGAAAAGTTAATATATTTCAATTTTAATTTTTGACCATTAGTAAAAGTATTTAATGTATCTGGTAATAGCTCTTAAATAGTAAATTATATTAATTTGAAAAATAATTTATTTTTTATATATAACGAAAAAATTATATTGACAAAGATTAATTGATCAACTTGATTCCGTCTGATTAATTGGAAGAAAAGATTCTACATAACATGTTACGATTTTCTATAAATATTTTTGGATAAATAGTGAATATTTGTGAAAAAAAAATTAATATTATGGTTAGAACTTAAAATATGTTGTAATATCTATCTTGACCGAAATATTATCAACATGAATTACGGAAAATCAATCTTGTAATTTACTATAATGGATATCAATGAAATTATTGCAGATATTAATAAAATTATTTAAGAAAATAATATTTTTTGTCATATCTGATTTGATCTTATTTGAAAGCATGTATATAGAATCAATTAATGCATATATTTAAAAAGTTTCCAAAGAAAGTATGCATTAAATGCTCCCAAAAATTTTTTACTATTATTTTTAGTAAATAGTTATTCTTATTATATATATAGATATAGATTGAATAATGATTTTGAAAGCAAGGGATTTCTTCAGCTACGTAAACGGTGAAGTACACGTCTTACAAAAATACATTAAGACTCTTGCTGTAAAGAGAATGGATTGTCAATATGGTGTCTTTAAAAGGCACATGTTCTGGGAAAGTGGTCTATTTTTCTGTTTCCACTTAATCCTGACACATGAAGTTGGATGACTAGAAATGGATGTTCATGAAATTATGAAAGAGGGCAGGAGTTGCCAATTTAGCTATTTGAGAAGGGCAAGGTATCCAATGATTGTATAGATCATCGTTTAAACAGTTTGGTGAAAAGGTCCTTCAGATGGTGGGCTCAGCAGGTTTTCTTTAATATTGCATATTTTGATAGAGGGTTCTGATTCGTGGAGAGTATCTGAGGGAATGTTTTCAAATTACTCTGTTGTTATTAGGGATTTGAGATCCTTGACTTCAAATTCGTCAAATGGAGCTTTAGCATTGGTTAAATGTTGGGCTGAGCATGAATTATTTTTGGCTTGTGAGATAGATTTGGACCACACTTTCTTGCAAAGTTAATTTCTCTATGCTATCCAGGTAAGCAGGTGAGAAGAATTTCTTTTGTGGCAATCAAGTGCTTGCAGACAAGCGTCAAGGAAAAAGTTTTATTTGCATAAAAACATCAGCTCTAGAAGTTCTTGGATAAGGATGGTTAGCGAACTTCAGATCATCGTTTTTTATTGTCGTGTTGTGCATATGCATTATGTTGTAAATGCTTCATATGAGTTTCTTTTATTGGTTTTGCACTTGATAAAGCATGCTGTAATCCTGATGATACTGAAATGAAGATATTTATTAGATAATATTAAGAAAATGTTGACTTGAATCCAGCGGGTACATTCATTGTCAGTTATCTGAGTTATTTAGGTGATTGTATTGCTGAGTGATGTAGCAACTTGTCTCACAGCAGTAAAACTTGCCTAGATTTGCTATTCTGCCTTTGCAAGTAATTATATTTCACATCTGATCCCAGAAGTAGCAAAAGCAATCTCAGAATCTTTGATGCACATAAGTCAGTTGCGGCTGATTTATTTCGGCCCCTATTGATTTTCTTTGTACGTTGCTTCCTTGTCAAATTTTCACCCTTGTCTGGATTTGGAGTTTTCAAGTCAAAGTTTAACTCTTGTCTGGATTTGGGTTTTTTCTTGTCGAACTTTCCTGCGACAGTGTAGGTGAACATGAGTTAGAAGTTTACGCAGGCCGTAACATCTAATGATATTGTTTTGACTTCAAAATTATCAGGTCGCTCCTTGTAAACTAAAGTGAAAATGGACATTTATCCGAGGAAAAGATATAAAATAGCTCATAGTTTCCCAAACATAATGTTAATAAAAGAATATAATATCGAAGAAGACTGTTTAAAGATCGTACCACTGAAATCTTGTCAATGCAACAAATTTAAAAGGAATTCCGTCTCATTTGATATAATTAATCATTCCAGTAATGCTCAAAGTTCAATAAAATAGTATCAATGATTATATAATATTGCACACATCTTGTGCATATGCAACAACAGAGCATTCATAAGCGATCATATTCAATCAGATAGTTCTCACATTGAGAATTGGAAAATCTAAAGAGTAAATTTTAAATTTGCTTTGAGTAAATGAGCAAGAAAGCTTTGAAATGGAAGAATAAATTCCGAAGTATGGCAGGGAAGGAGACCTTAATGAAAGTTGTAATTGTTGATAGTCGAATTCAACAAGATTATTATGAAGGATTTCTACTAGTATTAAATAGTAAAACGACTGGAATTGAGAGCAAAACAAAGATCCCAGATGGGAATTGAATGCTAAATAATCTGTTTATTCAAAAAGAAAGAATTATATGCTAGTGTTAATACACTGACAATAATTGCTCTAGGGAGGATAGTATTAATTTCTCAATAATCCTCTTCAAGCTTCGAGGGATGTTATTTATAGATAAAAAACAACAGTAAAAATATTATCTTCATAGGCTCCAACAAGTTTCTCAAGTTGTTGGGCAACTTGCGCAAGTGGTTGAATTATTTTGGGCGGTAGGAACCGGTTTTGTGTGCAACCCATTTCACAATATGTATGAGATCGACGTTTGTCTTTTTTAGGACGCATCGAGCCGATGTTTCTTTAGAAGTCTTTGTGTCTTGTGGTCGGGGCATCCAAGGTTATGCCGAAGTAAGTTGTTCACTTATCCCCCTGATGCAAAAAAGCAGATTAGCTCGGCCGATGAATTCTTGTGTACAACAAGTGCCCGCCCAAGTTCCTGGGGTCAGACGATGTTATAGTTGATGGGTTTCTATTAAGTGTCGTATTTCGTGTAAGTCGCCTATCTAAGTCTACAAATTACATAAGCCTAAGCGCAGCGTACTATAGACTGGTTTGAACATTCACTGCTTAGAAATTGTAGACTCTGAGACATTTCTGATATCCGTTGATGGAGATCGATGAACCTCTCGTCAATCGCTGGAATCGAAAATGGTTCGTAGTCGGGGTCGCGGGATCACCGGTCACTGCTCGAGTGTCGCGCGGTCAGGTCGCGGGATCACCGGTCACTGCTCGAGTGTCGCGCGGTCAGGTCGCGTGCGGCGGGCTCGACGTCGCGGATGGGTATGGCGCCTCGGCTTGGGCGTCGCGGGCTGTACTCGGTAGCCGCTGGGCTGCTCTCAGTCGCGAATGTTGTTTGTAGTAATTTGGGGATTGTTGATAACCGAGTATCCAACTCGAGTTGTTCTCAAAAGAAGGCTATTCAGAGCTTCATTTACTGTCTCGTCAGGTTTCTCATAGATTGCTAAGGAACATCGCCGAGCCTTGTCAGGTCGCTGCTCACTACAGGTGTCATGCGGTCATCTCGCCTGCGTGCGACTGCGAGTCGTGCAGTTGTGCTACAGATGTCGCGTGTAGAACACCTGATCGCCGTGCGCATGTGTCGCTGCGTGCGGGACGCATGTCGCCAGGTCGCGCTTGGATCGCTCAGATGCTGCGGGTCACTCCGCTCTGTCCGCCGGTGGTCCTGCCTTTGCGCGATGGTCGCCGGTGATGGTGATCTTGTCAATTGCGGTTGACCGATGGAGCTGAGTATATATTTGTCGGGATAGAAAAATTATATAACTTTTTTATTGCTACTGTATGATCTTTCACATTTTTTTCACATTTTCTGATCCGCTGGGGTGGACGAGGATGACTTCGGCGATCAACAACTGAAAGCATGGAAAAGCATAGCAAGGGAAGTTGCTCTTTAACAAAGCTTCCTTTAGCACATGAGCAAAATGCTCAAATGTCGTCGTCGTTCGCTTGGGATTGGCCCTTTGGCATTTAAGATTTCGAAAAAGAAGGAGAAGGAGCAGGATGAAGATGATGTGGACGATGACTCAGAGTGATGCTGGTTTTATTTTCTGATTTTGAGTGACTTATGAAGTGCAGTAGTGAGGTCTTGATGGAAAAGAACCTCGTTTTACTCTTGTTTTATGTGGATGATGATAACTATGAACTATTACTCAATTGTTTAGGATGTGTTTTTACTATTTGCAGGTTATGCTGGATATTCTAGAAGACATATATTCTATTTTGTTGTTTGATGTTCTAACCTTGCTAGATGAGATATGCTCTATCCCTCATGTTCTACCATTGTTATATGCTTGCTTGTTGTTTCTTGTGTTTATATTACATGTCATCTTCAAGATATGATTTTTGAACTGAATTCCAAATAGGGAGATTGTAAGATCTTATTTTGGCAAGGAGTTCTAAACATGACATCTTGATGCTCTTGGCAAGCAAGGAAAAATAAAAGGGAATATCTACTCTCTCTCTCTCTCTCTCTCTCTCTCTCTCTCTCTCTCTTTTGTTTAGGCTTAGATTCTATTTGATTTATTATGGTAAGTTCTATAATGCGTTTTTTTAATTTTTTTTTTAGGAGATCTTGGATTCAAAGGAAGAGGAAACTGATCGAGGCACAACGGAACAAAAAGAATTCGGCTTCCATATATGAAAATTTCGACTTTAGTTGGAAACTTAAAGAATGAAGGAATCCACTTGAAATGAAAGGAAGCTTTAAAACTCTTTGCCTTGAGGAGATTGTATATATGTCGTTTCAGATACTCAATTGAAGTTTGTTGCACATATCGAAGTTTATCATATTTTGAAGAATTCTTTGAGTGTTTTTTTGATTAGTTTTGAGTTCTTTTCTAAGCAGTTTTTTAGTGTTCTTACGCCACTGAATAACTGTGTTTTGTTTTCTTAATTCTACAAACACTTTTCATACTTAGGGATTAAATATCCGGATAACTGGGAAGGATTCTTAGCTAGTTTGAATTCCACTAGGTTGTGGCCAGCTGATTAGTTACATTTGCGTATAGTGTTGGCTAGACTAGGAAAGAATTTGAATCTTGTACTTCAAGTTGTACTTTGTGCGTGCAAACTGAGCTATTAATGAAAAGCTCTAAGGGGACCTTATACGCTACCCGAAGAAATTTAGAAGTCAATTGCTTCCATTTTATTTTTGTTGTTCGAACACTATTGCGAATTTTATTGTACTCTCAATATCCGTTTCATATTTTTTATTTTAAAAAATATTTATAAAAAAGTATGGTAAAATGTTAAATAGTCCAAAACATACAAAAGATCAAATGTTACTTTTGACATGTAGAAACAATATAGAATAATATAGAATAAGATCAAAACGTACATATGCCGAAAAATAGTGTGGATAACAAACAGTACTACAAATCAATATAATTGGACCAAGCACCGGTTCAGTCAAATGTCACCGTTTCACATTATAAGTAACATAATTGATGATAAAAATTGAATTCACCGACCAATAGCATATTTATACACCATATATATTGAGATATTAATTATGTACATTAAAATTTCAAAAGCAATTATTAGGAGAATTCGTGATCGATACTCATATATAAAAAATCATACATGTATCGATTGATTAATGTGCCACTGAATTGTATGACCCACACTTTGTTAATTTTTAGTTTAGTTTATTCAAATTAATTAGATAAGTCTTAATTAGCATTTAATATAACATATAGTTCCATTCCAATATATAAATTTGTTTACTGCAACATCCAAACATAAGTAGTTTGAACAAATATACATGTATATACACATATACATACACGTCTAAAGAGGTTTATAAGATTTATTTAGTAGTTAATTTGATTTCTGAGAGTTTAATTAGTTGAAAGATATGTAAAGGTATCATAACTGTCGTATTTCAAGCGTTGACTCTTTGTATAGTAGTTGGATATTTTGCGGTGGAGGATTTAACGCCTTGACTATGGTTGGGTCCCACCCGATAACAATTCAAGGTCAATAAAGGAAATCTCATATTTCCAAAGGGGGCATGATTAATTTGACAATTTCTATGGCATGCAACCTTTTTCCATTAATTATTATATATACATATATAAAAGATCATTCTAGTCTTGCTATATAAATTACACATCATATATACAAACACACACATTGATAATCAACAAGCTATCTAGTCGTTTTGTTTATCATCCATCTTTATAGTAGTTAATTTATATATGGAGTACTATTGCAATAATATCAATATTATTATTATTCTTGTGGTAGTGATGAGCCTAGTAATGGGTGGTGAATCATATTGGTTGAGGGGCACGGCCACGTGGTACGGTGACGTGGATGGTGACGGGAGTGACGGAGGTGCGTGCGGTTATGGGCCGCTGGTCCACGTGAAGCCGTATCATGGTCGTGTCAGTGCTGGAAATGCTGCCCTATTCCAAAAGGGTTTCGGCTGCGGAACGTGCTTCAAAGTCAAGTGCTTGGACCCCAGCTTATGCCGCAGAAGGGCCGTCACTGTGATCATCACTGACGAGTGCCCTCAAGGAGGCGCTTGCTCCGACAACCTCTACCATTTCGACCTTTCTGGGCCCGCCTATGGGCGCCTTGCCATGCCCAAAATGGATGATCACATTCGCGCACTTGGTGAAGTTCCCATTGTCTTCAGAAGGTCAGCTTGTTAATTCGCCTATCTATTTTATAATTAAACATCTATCTCTTCACTGCATGCCGAATTGCCTTCACCAGGTCATCAGCTTATTAATTACCTGCCAGTTTTATGATTAAACATCTATCTTTTCACTGCATGCCGAATTGCTTCCTGATTTATAATGTTAACTACTCCTACCGTTATTTCTTTCTCAAGTTTTTGGAAAATAAAATTACCAACGCCTTAATTATTCGCTCGTTGGGCAACCATTTGGAAGGATATTTAATTTATTAATATATTTAGAAGTATACAATGCTAAATTATGTAATAAATTGTATATATCAAAGTCATATTAATTAAATATTAATAAATTAATTAATATTTACAAGTTACATTATATAAAATAGACTAACTAATATGGTAGATATAAAGATATCTAAAATATAATGTATTCACAATTATTATTTAATATTGTTTTTTAATCAATATTAGTATTATTTATTATTTATTTGTTTTGGGGTCGTGTTGTACATCATGTTATAACCAAGTGAAATAAAGGTTTAACTGAATTTAATATATTCTTGTAGGACACCTTGCAAGTATCCCGGGAGAAACATTGCTTTCCATATTGATGAAGGATCAACTCCTTATTGGCTCTCAATTTTAGTTGAATTTGAAAATGGAGAAGGAGATATTGGAAGCATGTCCATAAGAGAGGTAATTAATCATCCATTACCTATGTCAATTTTATTACATAAGATTTATCCACGATAATGATAATGAGTTTTATTTTAGTACTACTGCGGCAATAGTCAAATCTATATACATATAATTGCTAGTTAAATAATACATAAAACCTATTTAATTTTACGTAGGTGTCACTATAACTCTTTCCCTCCAAAAAACTGTTACGTTGATTTATTTAACTTTTAATAATTAATACATTAATATTTTATAATTAGTACACTAATCACTTAAAAATTATAAAAATTATTTTAACTTATGATTACTGACAGGACCGCATAATGTGATTTGATTTAATTTTTTTTGGTAACATTTATGTTTTATTTTTGGAAAATAAGAAGGTATTTGAAATTTCAAATAAATACTAAATAATTCACAAAAAATAAAATGCATATCAAAATATACATTACATCCAATATGATAAACGTAATTTAAAAAACATAAATATTCCAGCTCCTTTTAATTGTGAATCTTGTCTGCAAAAAAGAGAAAGAAAAATCATTAATTATTATATATTTTATATTTTCAAATATTTTTATATTTCATATATATATAATTCCTAACACAAAAACTGTTACAATTTATCATTATTACTACTACTACTACTATTATTATTATTATTATTATTATTATTNTAAAATATTTCCTTGCACTTTTTTGTTAAAAGTTAATTAAGACAAAAACCATTATATTTTATATTAACTGGGCAATATTTATATTTTTTATTATATCATATAATAGTTGTTATTAAAATTAATAATTATATTTTACACTAAATGATAAATGAAAAATACATTGTAAAAACTTTTTTTTCAAGTTATTTATTCTAAAATAAATATTATTATTTTTATATGATTAAGTGTTTGTCTTGAAAATAAATTTATTTATTTTAATGTCATAGTAAAATTCCTTAAAATCGGATAAGCAATTGTTATAATAAATTTAATATTTTTCAGCTAATTAATTGGTCATAATTCCTCAAAATTACAAAAATTAAATTATTTATTACATTTTATGCAATCAATATAGTGATTCATATGTAATCGAATCGTTATGTACTATTTGTTATTACCAATGATCAAATTTTAAAACATAAATATATAGCATTATCTAACTTATAATTTTAATATTATACACATAAATATAATTTATAATATTTTATGTTTAAAATATAATATCGTTATCTAACTTATAATTTTAATATTATATGCATTCAAATAACTTATAATACTCTATTCACATTTGTACAAATGACAGAATCGAATACTAGCATGAATTAGTAGTTCTAACTGCATATCTATCACTTTATTCAAGTGTCTAGAGTTTGTCAAAATTAGAGAATTATAATTGCTCACTCGCATGTATTTAAGTACGTAGATGGCATGTTGCAACTGCAAGCGCCTGTTGTATATAAATATATCCGCTCAAAATGAGTTTATTTTGTTAACTAATGTTAATTTTGAAAAATGTAGTATAATTAGTTGGTAGTGAAATTTTGAATTTACATTAAAATAATATTTAAAATAAAATAATTAAAGTTGATTTGATATAAAAGTGTGTGAGAGATGATCTGAAGTGAGAGTTAGTTAAAATTATGTGAGTGAATGAATAGTGAATTCACAACAAAAAAATTGTTCTATTCCAACGGAAAATCCTATAGTAATTTATTCCCATGGAAATTTCAACGGATATTATTCATATGCAACACACCCTAAGTTTTGTTTTTCCCATATTCTAAAAAAGAACAATTAAACTCAACCAACAAAGCTATCATGTCAAGCTAAAAGAGAGACTCTTGAATTGCTTTAGAAGAATCCCAACCTCATTAAAACCAAGGAAAATCAAAATAGTACTATTATATATACATATATATTACTCTAACTAATTTTTTATGTGTAGATGAAGGACTCATGACTATGTTTTATATTCCTGTTTGGTATGTACAGGCGAATTCTGATGTATGGCATCCGATGACACACGTATGGGGTTCGACTTGGTGTATTAGCCAAGGACTTTTACAAGGCCCATTCTCCATAAAACTTACAAACGGCCCACCCAATCGGACTACGATAATTGCGACAAACGTGATTCCACGTAATTGGGCTCCCCTATCTACTTACACTGCCACTCTCAACTTCTAATTCTATATCATCCACTGCAAGCAGTATTTAAAGCTTCGAACCATGTGGAGTTTAGCTTCTTTATCTATCGGCCCTTACAACGTGACCTAGAGCATGCGGTTGGTTGTTTGGTTGTATNNNNCTTTTTAGTGGAATGAAGTAGTTGTGGCGATATATTGGCTTCGCGTTTTCTACAAGCAGGACATCATTGTACCTGCATGTAAGTGTGTACTCCATTATAATGCGACTTGTGACATCTTCATTAATATTAATACTAATAAAGTTTCTATAATGTTTATGTTATCTCTCATACCTTTCACGTAAATGTTGGATCTTTAATCTAACATTGGGCTTATATGTGAATAATTATCGTATTGTGGTTGTCAAATAAAGAAGCACAAATAGAAGTGATCAATTAAGTTTTAAAGTTATTGGGATTTAAAGTATCAATAGGGTGTGTGCCTTTAATGTGTAGAAACCAATGTTATCAAAACTGGACCGGTCATCGAACCGGTGAAGCTACTGGTTCAATGGTTCACTGGTCGGACCAGTGGTCGAACCGGTTTAACTAATATATAATTTATTTATTTATTTTATATGTATAATATATAATTATATATATATATTATCATTAATTTTATAGCATATAATGATATTTTTCTAAATAAGAGTTGATAAATCAATATTTTAAGTATAGTTTACCATAAGCAATACTAAATTAAGTTCACTAAAACAATAGATTAATAATTCAATATCTAAAGCAAGGTAATCCAAATTACAAATACAAACTACAAAGTCATCAAACATCAAAATATATACAATCCAACATTACAATTCATCAAACATCAAAATACTCTCTCACTCTTTTCCTTATGTTTGATTTTTTTTATTTCATTAAGATTTTTTTTTTTCAAATTTCAGAACCGGTTCGACCAGTCTAACCGGTACCGGTTCACCGGTTTTATCGGTTTTGAACCGGTTCGAACGGTTCGAAACCGGTTCTTGTTCCCAGCGGTTTAAACACTCAAACCGGACCGGTACTAGGTCCGGTTCCCGGTCGAACCGGTCGAACCGGCCGGTCCGGTCCAGTTTTGATAACATTGGTAGAAACTAATTGTCTTCTCTATTTAATGATGGACTAGAATAGAGATTGTTTGTCCCATTTTTGTTGCATTTTTCGTTATGGTTTTGTCTTTCTTTTCCCCCCGTTTTAGGTCGTTTCTTTCGTTTTAGTCCGTTTCGTGTTTTATTATTTATTTTCCTTCATTTTGAGTCTTTAGGTGTTTTTGCATTGATTGTCCCAGTTTTTTTTTGTGTTTTGTCGTTTTTGGTGTGTAGGTCGGGAGCTTCGGGCGAAAGTTGGTTTCGAGAGCATAATTGGATGGATTCGTTGGCGACATGTAGCAAAAAAGGAAACTCAATTACGAGTTCAGACGAGCCCAAAGGAGCCTGAAACGTAAAAGTCGCGACTCGCGAGCCAATGTCGCGACTCGCGAGCACAAAGTCCCGACTCGCGAGTTTAACAGAGCCTCCGACCACCCTGCGCAACCCACGACCCGTCACACTCGCGACTCGCGAGTCAACTCGCAAGTCGCGACCCGTTCAACCCTGTTTTTAGTTTTACTCGTTTTTTCTCGTTCTAGCTCCGTTTTTCGAGCTCTATATATAAAAACGACCCCCCAGACCTAAGGAACAATCTTCAATATTGTTCCTTTCAATTTTCTCTCTCTAAAACCTCAATATTGTTAGGATAAATTTCTCCCTTTTTTTTTTTTTCTCTCATGCTTGGATTGTTGGACACAAAGATATTTGGATTGAAATCTTGCAACTCTTAATACGATTGTAAGTTTTTCAATTCTATTTTATTATTGTTGATTGGTTTTATGTTCTTATTCCGTTTAACATGAAATTGAATCTAAGCATGAGGTAATCCATTCACCTAGGGCTAGGGGTTTTGATTCTTATTTTGAATTATGAGGAATGTGTTTTGTTCAATCTATACGAGTTGTGTGAGTTATAGGGTTAGTTGATTGATCACCATTCTAACCTAGTTAATCGACGTTTAGAACCGAGAGGGGAGACGTCGGTCGATTTAGGCTCGTATAGAGTAGACATGTTCGTAAAAGTATTGTCTATGTGTTGCTTGTTTGAATAAGTTTATCATTTATGTTTGTGCTCTTGTTACGAAGTGTTATTGAGCATAGCTCTCTAGACGTGTAGGCTTGTTAAATCTCGTAACCGAACAAATAAGCGTTCAACATAGTTTAAGACTTGATGAGATTTCCCAACCCTTAGAACTTCTTCTTTTTTCTCTAGAAATTTAATTGTTATTTCTTTAAATTGCTTTTCTAGTTCTAGCTTGTTTTAGTTAATTCTCCAAATCAATCGTGATTAGAGTGTTTAAGACTTATTTTCTTTTCGTGTGTGATCTAGACCAACGCTAAATTCCGAACCGTCTTCCTTGAGAGATCGACCCGAGGAACGAATCTTTATATTCGGTACTCGGTAAAAAAAATAAAATAATTTGCTACAACAGAGATATCGAATGTAACTTAATGTACATAAAGGGTTGTGGTCCCTAGGTTATATGCATCGACTGATCGACATCAAAACTCTTATGCATCTCATCGACAGAGAGGTTACGGAGAAAAGTTAAAGGGTTCTCTGAAAGGTACACGATCGTATAGACCTAGAAGGCCAAATTCCCAAATCAATCACCTATGGATTCAGGTACGCTTCCGCTATTCAGTCTCGATTCTCAATTAATATTCAATACGAAAGCTCCTGGATTAATGCGATGGTTTTTTCCTAAAGTTAATTCCAACAATAAATTTATAAATTGAACTAAGGTAAATAAAGTGAAGTGGGATGGCATCCCAGAAAGCTGCGCCTTTACTGATTGGTGGTGGAGGTTATGCTCGTTGGACCAGAAGGAGATTTTTTAGGAAAGAATTCAGTTGTCTACTTACATGTTGTTATGGTAGAATACATGATGTTCTAATTTAATTGAACTAATGTGGTACCCGTGCGTCGCACGAACTTGTAATATTAAGGAAAACATTTTAATTTGGATAATGAAATCTAAAACACATTTATTGGAATAAAATACAAAATGTTATTTATATATTATTAAAACCACATTGTATACAACATTGTTTATTTGAGTTTTCTTTGTACACTGTCGTCGCCACAAGTTAAAATCTCCAATAACCCTTACGATTCATGCGTGAAATAACTACATACAACTGACCGTGATTGAATATCAGTTTCTTCAAGAATGTGCGATAAAGATTGAGCCCAACTCTTATTTATCGTCATGGTGTAAGAAACCATCAGTTGGAATTGTCCCACTGTCTTCGATAGAATTTGAAAGGTGTTCAACTTCAGAAAGAGTTAGCGTCACCTGCGGAACCAACATCTTCTCACCTGAATGATGTCCAGTGAGAATTCTACATTCGAGCACATGAGTGGAAAGCTTTGTAACAACTAATCGTTTCCCGTTGCACAGCCCCATAGATATATCCATATTCTTCAACAGCATGATCGGAGTTCCTAACCTCAAATGCAACTCGTGGTTAAAAAACTCTAGTCTTTTTTTCTCCCTTCTCTCTACTTTCTTCTTTTTCCTTTTCATCCTCCTTCCATTTTTTTCGAACATCGTTTTTCTAGTTTCGTTTTTCCCCCTGCCGGCCATTGCCGACGGCGACGACCTCTGGCCACCCCTCCTTTCTAGTTTTTAGGTTTTAGTCTTTTTTATTTTTCTCTTTTCTTTATTTTCTCGGTCTCAGCCGATGTCTCTTTCGGCAACCTCACTCCAGTCTCCGGCGAACACCACCTAGCCCTTGGTCTCCACAATATTGGCCCTTTCGAGCGCGGCCATGGCTCCCGTCGGTCACATCACTACTCCAATTATTTCCGCTGGTTTGGACTCTGCTCAGACACCGCTGGAGGCTTTAATCTCTTTAGGCCAGACGTGTGACTATCTCGTTTTGGCATTGGACACTGAGAGGGTTGTTCTCACCGTTGCCGAGTTTGCTCGTGTGCCTGACGCTCATGCCGCCGGAGCCATGCCCTCAGCCGGTTTCAGGCTGGCTTCTCACGAGGAGAGGTTCGCCCGCGCGACCGTCGTTATACTAACCCTCTTCATAAAGCTTGGCACTTCTCTGGTTGTTTCGCCGTCTGGATCTACCCTTGTCGGAAACATCACCGGTCTTCTTCCGGCCAGTCAACGGACCTCTGTGGGGTTTTAATCTTTAGCCGCCGCCTCTTTGTTTGGTCCACAGAAAAATTTCGCCAATCGCCTTTTATCCGCTGGGCATGTGGTAGGGTTTGAGAGGCACGGGGTTGACGTGGCATTTCCTCAGCCAAGTGATCATTTTTCTCACTTGGGCCAATTGGGCCACCTACCATGGTCAGGCCCATTGCGCAGAGCCTCTCAGGCCCGCAGGTAAGTGATGAGCTTTCCTTTTCTTTTGGCTTTTTGGGCTAGTTTCCTAGGCCCAGCCATCCCTCTTTCCTCCTAGATCCGACAACCCTCACCCAACCCTTAGCCCAACCTACCCCTTCTTAGCCGAAATACCATCAAGCCCAATCAAGCCTCTCATCCCAGCCCATCCCCACAAATGCAACCAAACTATTGGTTTATATACTGAAAGCTTAACTTTGGATGATATTTTCACTTAATTTATGTTAAATGAGGATCGTGTTTGATTAAAAAAGTTCTATATTCCGTTGTTTTGTACTTAGATATAATGGTTCATTAGCGGGTGAAAAGAAGATAATTTTATCAGTGACTTGCGAAACAAGAATGATTGGTTCACAACTTAGATGGAAATGAACAAACCATTAGAATGGTTGTAGTGTCAATCGTACAGTCGATCTTGACTGATTAGCTGCACTAGTACCTTTATGTATTGAACAGGATCCCAGAGAGGAGTAGTTAGTTTTATACTAATCGTCGTAAACGAAGTAGGCCTTGGTTAATTACTGCGTTCTCTTAACCCGTAAGATATAAGATAGACATGTGCATGCAATAGCTCTTACTTTAATTCACTGAAGGTGAGATTCATTCTGATGGATCAATAGGTCTGATATTTTAGGTAATAGTGATGCATGTACGATTTGCTGTTAAAATATTTACGGTTACCATGTGCTTTAGTATGAAGATGTCCCCAAGTTAGCTCATGAAGGATTGATTAATATGTTAAATTCTACAGGTAGATTAAGTTCCGACATAATAATAATGGGATGAGTGGTACTGACTTCGATTTGCAAGGTATCAATTAATTCTTGATTATCATCAGTAGTTGAATTAAATGATGGACATTATATCTTAGATTAATATGTTGGGATTTTGGATGAATTATTATAATTGATTGTCTTCTTTTGAACCCTATTCAAATATTTTGTTCTTTTTTTCATGTTTAGCACTTGATCAATGCTTTTACATGTTTGACAATATTGTTCACAATTCGAGAGATGAGTTCAATATTAGGTCTTTAATATTTGATATAATTTACTTGCTTGAATCGAGAGATTAGTAGGTCGTTGAGAGGATATTAGATCTTTTAATTTATTTAGAGTTGAATTACATGTGTTGTGTGGAGACGCTAATATATGTGATTTAATCTACGAATTTATCGATCTCGAGAGGGACGATAAGCTAAATTTGTGATCATCTTATAGGGTAGATAAAAGAACATTTAGTTGAGGTATTTTATAAGGAAACCCAATTATTAATTGAAACCACAGTCTTAAAATCTATCATTCACATATATTTGTCTTACGTGTTCTTAGTTAATTCTTTGTTCTTGCTTTATTTTTTCATTGATTATATTTTCTTAGTTTAGTTCATTCATCTCATATTCAGTCGTCTAAATAAAGTTGATACTATCATAATCTAGTAATTGGTACATTAATTATTTAATCTCTTGGTATACGGCCTTGCTTGCCACATACTACGAGCGAAGCCGTACGCTTGCGGTCTAACTTTAAAATATAGGCGAACACTTATTCGTTCGATCCCGACGTAAAATATATTCGGCTCCGCAACAGCCTCTGCGACCAGTGCACCACCGTACGCGACAGTGCAAGGTAAGGCGCACCTGCGACCACTGCGCGACCCGACTCAGCAACCAGCAGAAGCGATCTGACTCAGCGACTAGCGGCAACGACGTGGCTTGGCAACCAGCGACAACAACGCGACTAGGCAACTAACAGCAGCAACAGAGCTAGACGATTAGTGGAAACGACGCCGTTAGGTCCGACAGTCCGTGGAGGCTAACCAACGACCCTTGACGATCGGCGATCAAGTACACGATAAGGCGCAACCAACTTCGAGGCGAGAGGACGAGAAGTTAGACAAGTAGTCAAAACCATTCCCGTAGGTCGTGTAAGTCTGTACATAGTCGATAATTTTTAAACGATAAGATTCGGCTTTTCGAGTGGGATCTTCGGGCTTTGGTCACCGGCGAGTATGCAGTGGTGTTGGGTGGAGTGAGGATCAGTGGGTGGGGCGAGGCTTTGGAGGCTGCGACGTGTCGCGTCGGGGCGGTCGGAGTTGAGGGACCGAGCCGCCATCACCCCCCCTGTTCAGCTAGTGGTGTTAGGCGACGGGGGCTCTGGTTCACTCAAGATCGGCTAGTGGTGTTAGACGTTTTTGGGTGGGGATGGTGTGGGGGCTGGTTTCGTTGTTCCTCCAGTTGACGGCGGGTCGTTTCGGGGTTTGGCTTGGGTTCGGGTTCCGCTTCTGTTTAGGCGGTTCAACAGTTTCAGAAGCGGTTCCTTAGGCTTTGGATTTTTCTTTGGAATCGATTGTTGCTCTACTGGTTTCAGCCCGGTTGTTCTGCTGTGGAAGGGCTCTTTTTTTCGTTTATTTTGTTTTGTTCTTCGTTTGTTTTTATGTAAGTTATGTTTGTGGAGTTAGGACTCGTGTCTTTAGTTTGGGCTGTTGGCCCTTGTGAGCCCGAGTGTGAGCAGGTATTACTCCGTTGGAGTCGTTTTAGTCTCCTGTTTGGGAGTTAGTTGTAGTTTTTGTAGTTGTTGGTGTGAGTTTGTTTTTTCTAGCGTTGCTAGGTGGGCTCTAGGCGGTCTTCTGACCTGTCATCTTATTCAACTGTTGACTGTCCTATTTAGCCAGAGGATGTGTAATTTGCACATTTGTACGTTTTTTATTTAAAAATTCTCTATTATTTTGAAAAAAAAACCTAATATAGTTGACAATATCAGGTCTGATAATGATTTTTTTCTTAAAAATGATCTTACCTATTAGTCTTGTTGCCAGAATTAGTGGACACGTACCATTACACAAACAATCGTTTCATAACTTTCATTATTGTTTTTCTTAGGAAACATTTTAACTTGCATTGAAACAAAAAATTTCATCACTATATCTATATGTATCCTGCTCCAACCTCAAATAAACAAAAGGGTTAATTGCAGATGAAACTTTGACCTTTTGTTAAATTGTAGATAAAACTTCACTTTATAAGTTTGGCAAAAAAATACTAACCTTTCATAAGTGTTGCAATTGTGTCTCAATCGCCACCCGCCGCTGGTCAACTTCGCCGGATGTTGAAAATTTTTACATGATCTTGTAGCTCTCCTCCGTGCCGACAACATATCCGAGTTTCGCGAAAAAATTCCGACGATAAGGCTTCCAATTTTCCGGTCAAAGCTCGTAGATCTACAAATTTTCTCCAGCTCTTTCGCAAATTCTCAGTGACTCGCTTTGACTCACGTGAATCCGAAGGTACCGTTGAACTCCTCTCGCAAAGCCACATTTTGTGACGTCCACCTTGGCCGGAATCGGTGACTTTTTTCGGTGACGACTTTTCCCGTCATCTCCTTATCGTCGGAATTTTTTCGTGAAACTCGGATATGTTGTCGGCATGGAGGAGAGCTACAAGATCATCTAAAAATTTTCAACCTCCAGCAAAGTTGGCCGGCGGCGGGTGGCGATTGAGACACAATTGCAACACTTATAACAGGTTCATATTTTTTTGCCAAACTTATAAAGTGAAATTTTATCTACAATTTAACAAAAGGTTAGAGTTTTATCTGCAATTAACCCTAAACAAAACAAAATAATATCAATCAATCATTCATACACACCACATCAACCCACATCAACCTTAATTCGCTATTCATCCACTCACATTATTTTAACTAACCATCACTTCAAATCTCTCTCTCCTACTTTTACATCAAATCAATTTTAATAATTTTATTTTAAATATTATTTAATATACCCACTAACAACTAACAATAACACTTTTTTCAAAATTAACCAAACTAAATCAAAAAATCCAAACAAAACCAATTTTTTTTATAAACAAACATGCTCCAAAGTTGAATAGTAATTGACTTGTCGAAATGACCAAGCTGCCCTCGAGTATTGACTCTTTGTCAATGAAAGCAAATACGTGGATGTTGTCGTGCGGATTTAACGCCATAACTGCCGGCGGGCCCATCCAAAAAGGTTGTGGCAACATCTTTATTATAAGAAATCTCGAGGGGCCAAATGGGCATATAATAAAATAATTTTTCTTTTTAATTGTTGGACTTCTATTCTGTTTCACTTTCACTTACACACACAATATCGCTACATATACCATGTTACGAACGAACTGTTAACGGTGTGCAGTTTCTCTTTATTTTACTTTGTAAGATACTGTATTCCAAATCCCTCCACCAAAAAAAAAAGGAAAAGGACAAAATACTCTGTCGGCAGAGCAAGTACATTACCACCTCGATTCTCACGCGCCGCCCTTAAGAGGCGCGTCATGGAGGGCCTCGGCTACATTTTCATTCTCGTCCTTCTGGCCGGCCCGGCCGCCGCATCCAACGTTCTCGCCGGCCAGAAGTGGCAGAAGGCTACGGCCACGTGGTACGGCAGCCCGGAGGGCGACGGAAGCGACGGCGGCGCGTGTGGTTACGGATCTCTAGTGGACGTGAAGCCGTTCAGGGCTCGGGTCGGGGCGGTGAGCCCGGTGCTGTTCAAGGACGGCGAAGGGTGCGGCGCGTGTTACAAGGTGAAGTGCTTGGACTCGTCGATATGTACGAGGAGGGCCGTCACTGTCATTATCACCGACGAGTGCCCCGGCGGGTACTGTTCTAACGGCCGCATCCATTTCGACCTCAGCGGAGCCGCCTTCGGACGGATGGCCGTTTCCGGCGAAGGAGGTCAGCTGCGCAACCGCGGCGAGATTCCGGTCATCTTCAGGAGGTAATTAATAACTTTAATTTTATCACAGTGAAAATGCAGATTGGGTGTTTTCTTAACGGTGTCGTTTTGTGATTAGAGCCTTTCTTTCTCGTTAACAAAGAAATTAAATTTGGTTTTAATTTGTTTAATTTACTGGCGTGGCTTCAGTATAGTAGTAATTAATTGGAAGAGGAATTGGGGATAGAGAATGTACTTGCACACACTGCAGTACACTTTTACACCTACCACAGAGTGTAAATTTGACTTAATCTCTGTTTATTCACACACCATTTATTTCATTCTTTCTTAATCACGTTGGTGGTTAGTAGTAATTAATTGATTAAAATATTTTTAATGTCAAACTTGTAGTTAATTTCTCCTAAGTAAATCTTGAAAACAGTATCCTAGAAAATGTCATCTTCATCGTTGACAACTTTATAATTACCTTTTTTCTTGTCTCTTGTGAGTCCAGTCTAATTAAAATAAAATCATCAAAGATTTTGAACAGTGATTGTGTTCGTGACATTTTCTTTTCCTTAATTAATTAAGGGCATATAACCTTATTATATATTTTACAATAAGTTAATTAAAATCATAGTTTTGTGTAGATATTTTTCTCCATGTGAAAATATTATTTTAATTAGTAGTTAGCAATTTGTGAAGGCAGAATTAACTTATATTTTCATCAAAAGTGCAAAATATGCATTTTTTTTTTCTTTTTACCAAATAAAATTTTTATTTCATTTTTATAATTTCCATTTCAAGTTAAGGTAGATGGGGATACTGAATGTTCAGAGTGGGACCTAAGAAAGAAGTACTTTTAAAGTAATTATAACTGTTGCTTGCCCTGTGTGACCCACATATCTTTAATGAGATAGTACCATTGGTTTTTTAATATTGTGGGGGTAAAATTTTTCTGAATTAAATTTACTTATGTATTTATTGCTAGTATATAAAAAATGTCGTTCGTCCATTAGATTTTTATTTTTATTTTTATACATCCGTTATTACTTTTCATTTATTTAATGTCGAATTGGCGGGAAATGGTATCTCTTAGACAAAGTAAAGTAAAACATGTGCACATGATAGAATCTCTTTAGTCAAATTTTGTGGCACCTAACTTGACCAAAGTGGGTTCAAAGGTCTTCTAAACAATCCATGCAACATTCTACTTGAAAACATGTGAGCTACATATTCTAAATAAAAATCATAGGTTAAAGTAGAATTCTGAAAATTGAATATATATATATATATATGACGAAAATTGAATATATTTATTATCATATATATATATATATATATATGCAGGACAGCGTGCAAATATCGTGGGAAAAACATTGCTTTCCATGTGAATGAAGGATCAACTGACTATTGGCTCTCGGTATTAATTGAATTTGAGGATGGAGATGGTGATGTTGGATCTATGCAAATAAGAGAGGTAAATCCAAAGAAGATTCTCTATCTACATACACTTCTTTACTTGATTAATTCTCGGGTTTAATGCACCAAACCCCCCTGTATTATACGAAATCTGCGCGTTTTCCCCTGTATTTTAAAAATTGCATTAGACCCTCTTCTATTAAGGTTTTGTTTGCGCAAAACACCCAAAATTTAGACGTTTTCTGGTATTTCGCGCATACAAAACATTAATAGAAGGAGATCTGACGCAATTTTTAAAATACAGGGGGAAAACGCGCAGATTTCGTATAATACAAGAGTGTCATGTATATTTTACCCATTAATTCTCTACGGTCTAGTCAAAAGAAGCTTTTATTTTTTCCTCTTTTGTAGGGATTTCGTGCAAAAAAGTCGTCACTTTCACAACTATCTACTTAAAAGACAAAACTCAATGGGGGGATACTTTAGAAAATTATAGAATTAATCGATTATTACATTCACACGAGAATCCATTATATTATCATTCTGAATTTGAATACAGATCAACATCTTTAATAATCATGTGTTAAGTATGTTTTCGTGAAATGGTTTGCCCTTTCTTTTGTAGCTTAATTAGTTAATATAATATTCCTTTCATTCCTTAATTTTATATATCTTTGTCTGATTACACAGGCTAATTCGAATGTATGGCTAGAGATGACACACATATGGGGTGCCAATTGGTGCATTATTGCTGGGCCTCTACAAGGCCCGTTCTCAGTAAAGCTTACGACACTGTCGACTGGGAAAACAGTGTCTGCAAGGGATGTCATTCCCCGGAATTGGGCCCCTAAAGCCACCTACACCTCCAGACTCAACTTTTAATTATCCCGGATAGACTAGAGTTAATTTGTGGACTGTTTTTT